CAGCATGAAAATGGTGATCGGGCAACTGGAAGGCATCTTGCAGGAGCTCAAGGAGGTGGCCAAGGAGCTGCGGGAGGTAGGAGAGTGCAGGGCTGGGGGGTGATGCGGGATCCTCGGCGGGGGTGACCCCAGGGTGCGCGCGTGGGGCGCGATGGTGCAGGCTGTACTCCCCGTGGAGCAGTCAGGATGTCACCTGCCGGCATTGGGCACACAGGCGCTTGCAGGTCTCTACTCACACTGCAGGTCCCCGCTCACCTCTGTGCTGTCCCCCTGCCCCAAGGGCTGGGCTGGGCGCTGCAGAGCTCCGGGCCAGCAAAGGCACTGGTGCAGCCTCAGCCGTGACCTGGCATCAGCCCCGGCCTCCTCCTGAGCTGGGGACAGGCCCCCACTTGCAAAACCACGCATTGACCTTGACTCTGAGTGGCCACTGGGACTGCCCCTGGCTGGACTGCTGCATGTGAGGGGCTGGGTTGAGCAACCAGCCAGTGCCGGTGCTGGAAGGAGCACCCAGGATTGCAACATCCCCACCGATGCCACCTGCTTTTGTGCCGAGTGCGTAGGGTCATTCCTGCCTTGGGGGGATCGCTGAAACCAGGGGCAATGAGTCCCTGGTGCCAGGGCCCTCGGGGCAGGGGAAACCTCCCCTGTGATGCAGTGTGGCACCTGGGTGCAGAGGGCACTCAAAAGGCACCTGGGTGCAGAGAAGCACAACCAGGCAGGGGCTGGTGGCAGTGCCCGGCGCAGGACATGCGGGGCTGCGTGCCGTAACCCGGGAAAGCGAGTAGATGCCCTGGCGTTTGGCTGTTGGGATACATTTCTGCTGCTTCCTAGTGAAAACGCATAAAAATATATTTTGTGTATGTGTGTATGTATGTACACACACACAAGCGTGTGGCTGGAGTTTCCCTCCGTGCTGCCTCCCTCCTTTGCTTGGCAGTTTAATGCTGCTGAGGCTCAAAGTTCAGCCCCCAAGTGCCTGAAGTTGGTGGGGGAAAAGGGACCTGGATGTGGCTGATGGTTTCAGATGCTCCTGTGGGCGCCAGGGGATGCTGCAGATGACAAGCGCTCGCTGGACGCGACAGCTTGCGCTTTGCCATGGGGTGCGTGCGTCTATGTGGGTTTGCGCCGGACATGCGGGTGCAGCCGGACGTGCTCAGGGTCTTCCTGGAGCTGTGCAAGGCACCAGGCTCATCCCGAGGGAATGCAGAGCCCTGCCAGCCTGGCAAGGGGATGTGGGTAAAGCAGGACATTAGCCTGGACATCCCTGGAGCAGAGCCTTGCTTACCCCTCCGTGACACTCGGCACGGGGCCGTATCCATGCAGGAAGCAGCCGGGTGCCACCGGTGGCTGCTCCAGAGGCAGAGCCATCATCCCCTGTCCTGGCATGAGGTGACAGCTCTGGACCTAACGTGGCCCTGCTGTCCCCCGAGGGATGCAGTGGGTCCTTGACTGGCTGCCCTTCGTCCCTGGGGCTCCCTGCTGCAGGCAGGATCCCGGCGTGGCCCGAGGCTGCTTCTCCTCCTGGTGCTTTGGGTGGACAAAAGAAACTGCAATAAATAAAACAAAGCTCAACTCTGGCACATCCATGGGGGAACCCAAAGCCCCTGCAGCAAATCGCTGAGGGATTAAAAAAAATCGTACTAAAGCAAAAGAAAAAGGG